TGACATCAGATTCTGCTAGTATAGTGAATAGTATTAAACTGTTCGATTAATTCCTTGTCTAATCTAAAAGTGATAGTGTTCCAAGATCATGTAAAATGTTTTCAGAATCAGATACAGGTAGAATTAATTTCAGATTCAGATGCAACTTGTTGAAGAATAGATTACTTTACTTTTTTAGTTTAGGTGCAATTTCGTCGAGAACAATTTTTAAAAATTTATAACATTTGGGAATATTATAAAGAAAACACTTGAAGGCAAACTTGAAGGCAAAAATGTATAAAAAAATTAAAGATTCAAAATTATTTACGATTTATATAAACAAATTTTAATTAGTTCGAAAATTGGTTACCTTATAACAAAAATATTATCAACGGTATTTGCATCTTCATTAGCAAAAAACAATTCCTATCACAAATTTTGTAATAATAAGGTACCCTTATAAATTTCTGCATAATTTGGCTAAATTAAAAAAATATATATGTAGGATAAAGTTTGGTTTATTAATAAAATATAAGTGGTATATTATAATTTTTTATTGTTTCAATTAAAATATAGCAATAATATATAGTTCTGCTCATTTTTCTGAAAAAAATTTTGTACTTTTTCTGAGGCAATTTGCCAAAGTGTTTAAATTATAAATATATATATATGACATTTGAATTAAAATTTGAATAAATTAAAATATATCGATATTATCTACCTTCTTGCTATATCGTCATAAATATAAGTAATATATGATCAATATTAAGCCTATAATTGTTCCAAGAAGTTCAAATCTGTGACTTTTTATCCACCTGGCTATTTTACAATTTAAAATTATTAAAATAGAATATTTAAGGTTTTTTTTCTTGAATAATTTTTGAAAATGATCTTACGATTGGGTTCATATCCATAATCTTGATCTAAATATCTTGTAATTTCGCCAGATGCAATAACTGTAATGGTTTATGTATAATCAAAGCCTTTAAATCATTAATGATTGAATCGACTGATCTTCCATTCATAGTTTCAGCTTTCTTAAAATTGATGGACAAAATGATTTGTTCTTTAGATTCTTTATGGAGTGAGACGTCAATTTGAAACCTTTTATTGGTAATGATTCGATTCGGAAAAACGGGAATTGCTCTGGCCAACTCTTTGGTTAATTTCATAAAAAATTTTTCACGTCTGTCATGATTAAGCCCTTAAAATGAGTGGTCCCTTCAGGTGTAAATCGAACACTTCCATCAATGTTATCTAAAGATTTATTGTTTGATTTGTCTTCGTTTTATCTAACTTTAGTAATCATCCGAACCTATTGAAAAGTCATTAATTTTTGATCGAGTTAACATGGTAGAGATCTACAAAAGCACTTACGTGTTGTAAAAAACCAAACTTTTTTCATTAACAATGGATATTTCTTCGACAACTTTTACATATTCATTTTTTTCATATTTGTTGTTAAATAGAAGTAGTTTGACTTAGACTACCATCGCTATGAAAAGTTGAAATGTTGCATATGTAGCATTGATGTGTAAATTATTATATCCTTGATCTAAAAATATATATATATATATTGTAAAATTTAAAAGAAAAAAAATGAATGAATGAAGAATGGATTTACCTTTCTCTCTCGCTATTTTATACAATTCGGTGGTGATTAAATCCAACTTTGTTTTATCTCCTGTTTAGGAAGTACAAGAATATTGTTTGGTAAACTATGAAATTCCTTTAAAATTTGTTTCGATAAGGTTTGTAAGGTTCCAATCAAAATAAGTATCATTGTAACCTAAAACATATCCAGAGATTTGGGAATCCCACTTAAGAACAGCCTCCATATGGTAACGCCAAAATATTATATTGAATCCCGGAATTTTAAAGGTTTGAACATTATATACAGTTCCTTAAGAAAAAAATCAACTTTAATAGAAAATTTATCAGTTAAATTAGGAGTATCGAGATAACGTCTGACAGTTAATAAACAACTATGTCCAACTCCTATGTAAGCGAAACTGCAGTTAAGTGCAGTAGATTCTAATCCCGGATCTGTAACTTGATAAAGCAACTGGTTCTCGCTCCGTTACTTTTTCATGATCTAAGAAAACGCCATAGATTCCTCCCCATGGACGAAGAGGATCCAAGACTGTCGTTAAATTCGTAAAGTTAACATAATTACCGCATATCCTCCGTCTATCGTTGCAACGGGTTCTATTATATGTTTCGATGTTGTAAGGTTCATGAACTGTTCTGTAAGCTTGTTCATTGTCCCATCTTCATCTCTTTATAATATATATATATATATATGAATATATATAAATTAATCATTACATCAATTATAAATAATTAAAATTAAATTACATTATAAGGTAGTATTTGTTTTAGGCGTAACACGAAGAAATCCTTTTTTACCACCTTTTCATCATCACTTTTATATTTATACTTTCGCCCATCAAATCAGCATGTCGCAAAAGGTTTCGAAGCTATAGATAAAATTTTTAAATGAATAGAATGTAAATAAGTCATATTTATTATTTTAGATAATCAAGTAATTTAACTTACACTGCTAGATCTCCACTGTTTATCAGAACTTTCATTTCGTGATAGACAAATATTTACCTTTTTTTCTTCTTGTACTTTCTCCGTGTCTGATTAAGAAAGTTCATCTGAATGTTAGCTTGAATTGTTGATAATTGCTTCTAAAGTTGTAAATCAACAAGATTCCGATCCTTAATATCTACCATATGATAGAATCCTCTTTGCCGTCTCTCGTTTCTTTTGTAATAAAATAAATAAATAAAAGTTGGTATAATGAAATATTGAAATTAAAGAAACAGATATATTTAATAAACTTGTAAAAAATTTTCAACTTACATCTTTTTTCCTACAGTTCGTTCCAGTTCTTTGTAGTTCTTTGTTTGTTCATTTTTATTTTAAAGGATTCATTGAAGTATTATATGCATCTCTTTAATGACGATGAAGATTTTGCAAAATCTTTTTAACTCTGTCAGTATATTGAAATCGATCTCCCAATGTCTTTTTTTGAAGCCGGTATAATATTTTGGTTTATTTCAAGCAACGTTTCGTATGATCAAAAACAACGAGTTATCAAGGAACTTTAAGGTTTGGACGACCTCATCCTACAGTAAATTATTAAGTATCAAATAAGTTAGAACTTAAAATTGTTAATGACAAAGGCAGTACACAGATTACTGATATCAAGGAAATTCACACGAACTTTACTTGATTAATTCTAGAAATTCACATCAAAACAATACCATTGAAACACAATGCAACCATTACTAACCTGGAAAGCCTTCTTATATTCATGATTCATTAGTTCTAAATTTTTCTGAACTTTAGTTGATGATGGATCAGGAGACAAAGAATGTTGTGTCCTTGTTCGATTTTCCTGAATACTGATTCAATGAAGAGCCTCTTTTCCATCACGAAGTTCTTTTACTTCTCCTATTAAATCTGACATAGCAATGTAACTCTGCAATTTCTGATACAAAAATAAAAATTTTCCATATATTATTTTTACCTTCTCAATCCACATTGAATATAATATCAGGCCCAGTTAGTAATATGGCCATTTTTGATCAGTTTTCGTCTCTGTGCAGCAGTTAAACTTATATAATACTATCAAAGTCGGGTTTTTGAAAATTACTATTCCAAGAAATAAAAACGAGAAAGTTTTTTTTTAATCACTTTATAGATAAAACTGACTGGTTCCCTTTTTTTCCATCGTGTATAAAAGTATAAATTCCATTTGTTATAAGCATTCTTAATTTCTTTCTTCTACAGCTTGCAACCACATGATATTTCGGTGTGGAGAAAAAAAAGTAAGGTCAAAAACTTTTTATTCATTGTTTCCTAAAATGAACATCATTAACCTGCAATCTATTGTTACACGGTTGTAAATCATATAAAAATGATTATTTATAAAATAAGCTTGCGATTAATCCTATCCTACTAGCCCAACTAGAGTCGATTGTGACATTCTTTTATCATAAATAAGCGTAAATTATTTATCTAATTTTTAAAATTTTTAACTTTAATATTTCTTTTTTTTCAATTAAAATACTTCATAATTAAGTTTAGTGGTGTAATTACAATAAACAATCGACAAAATTTTAAAGTAATATAAAAAAAAGATCGCATCAAAATAATTCAAAATTTTTATATTTTTGGTAACCACGAGGAGCTAGAGGGAAATGTAATTATAATATAATTTTTAATTATTTTACTGAACAATAAATCTCATTTATAAAATATATATATCAATTAAAATATTTTCATCAGTACAAACATCTGAAAGATATTCTTCACTATGTGGCTATGTGGGTTTTCATCACTGAAAATTCTTAATACGCTATTCCTAATCGAAAGTTTATGGTTTATAAATTTGATAATCTGATAATAATTATTCAAATTAATTTACAGTTTTAATATAAATTTAAATATTTAGTCAAGATGGAATGAGTTTGGTGCTACAAGATGGGATGCTCCTGCAACTTTAAACGTCACCAGCAATTTTTTATTATAAGACGCTCGTGATGTTCATTCATCATTATTAACCAATTATAATTCATAATTCGAAGCCAATCATATTGAATCGAACAAAGAAAATATTCACACGATCAAATATCCAAATTCAGTTGAACCGGAACCACGATTATGCTTACTAAATTTAGCTTTCTTATTGGAGTGTCTACCTTTAATTGCAAAGAATTGCATACATGATTTTTTGTTATTTTTTTCCCCCATTTTTTCTTATAAAACTAAAAAGTGGAAATAGTTTGTGAGCAAATTTTGACGTTCTTTTCTTTTACTTATCCCTTCAACAAAAAAAAATCATAATGTTACCTTGAATAAACTTCATATTTGGATGTCTATCTTTTTTTTAGTTTTCCTCTCCTGAAAATAGACTCCAACATGAAGTAAAAATTTTCTCCCTGATATTGTTTACTCCTAAGCGTACCTACTGGCTCAGATAACTGTTTTTTTCACTTCTTTTTATCTTACGATGAGGGATACTTTGTGGTGGTTAACTTTGTCCTTTTTCCTTTCTCACGATAATGACAACTCATATTGACAAGACTAAAAAATAAAAAACAAATGTTTTAGTGATGAATTTTATTTAATGTTTTATTTTCTTAATTTATTAGAAGAGACGAAAAAGAGGGCTAATGTAGAAGTGGAAATATTAGGTATAACCACTTGATTTACGTACTTTAAATTTTTTTTTAATTTTCTAATCAAACAGACGAATAATGGGGGGGACCTACCTATTGGTAGTCCATAGTGCTACAATAGTACTACTCGTAATTCTGTTAAAGTTCATAAGGGTCTGCTTTTTCTATTGGTAGAAATCGCTATGTAACTTCCCTTATGTTGAAACTAACCAAAACAAAAATAATTTTGTTAGGTCTGTTTCGCCTTTAACTGCAATTCGCGAGTAGGTGTTCCTTTGGGATACCCCCCATTCCTTGGACCCTTTGTCGGCCGACATCGATAATGTAAGTTACCTAAATTTATTTATTATATTTGCTCTTTAGTCTTGTCATATGAGTTGTATTATTTTTATCCTCGTATAATAAATAAAAAAATTGTGTTGATATATTATAAATAAATTTTCTTATGATCTTTAAAAATGTTTATTATATAAACATATAAATATATAAATGGTAAAATTTAATGAAATTTGAAGTTAAGTTTCGCACCATGCATAAGTTATTGTTGCTATATCACCTGAGAAAAAAAATTTAGTTCTAAAAATTGAAAATTTCAAATCCCTAAAAAATGAATAAATTACATTATAACTTTGCATTTTTTTATAAAAAAAGAAAAAACGATATATATAATTAGTTTTCGACGGCAAATATTTTATTTAAAACAAATAAAATGATATATTATATCAGAAGTTTAGTCAGATCACCAGATTTACTCAAATAATGAATCAATCCATGTCATGCACCATTTTTAGGTTGTCTGTAATCTGTGCCATTTTATATCGATAATACTTTAAATTATAGGAATTTTGTTTATTTTGCGCTACCTGGGTGTGTAGAAAACCTTAAACTCATACGTTAAAGCGTCTATATACGAACTTGGCAAATTTCTTATTGAAAGAACTATAGACATAAAATCATTACAACAAATTTTGTAACACTCTTATTCAACCATCTTAACGCAACTTCAAGTGAGATGATCTCTCTGGATGGAATTGCGAGAGTTAGAAAGATGTAATAATTTCAATCCGATATACTTTTCAAGTTTTATGAAAGATTTTATTAGACCGCTTAAGATGTGAATGTTTATTTACAGCAAATCCAAAGTTCCAATAAAACAAATTTGAGACAAATGTAACACTATAAATGGCGCAAACATTGCTAAATTAAATATAGAAAATACGTTGATACAAGCTGTTTTTAAAAGATATAACGCCTTCTGTGTGCAATTTCAAGAGTGGGAAAAATTAAATGTTCAGATGCATCTTAATTTTGGAAAAATGTGACAAATTTCAATGTAAACTCGATTTAATGGGTTATGAAACTCTAGAGATAATAGATTTGTACAATCCTTGATCACATTTCAAAATTCCTCAATGGATTGAGTGACTGAACGACTAGATAAAGTTTTATATATTTTGGATGGAAATGGATAAGTAGGTTATCTGATGCTGATGATTTTAAGAGTTTCTTAAAGGAAAAAGCCCAACATGATATTACAAACTTGATCAATGTTATAGAGTATAATGGGACATTTTGATTATCAAAAGTTTAAGATTACTTGGAACATCTATGAAAAGAGCTTAAAAGATGGTGAATACATTTCTTATTTTTTATTAATTTTATTTTCTTAACTCGGGTTGGGTCAATAGAATATTAATTAATGAGTTGATGTTTTAAAATTTATAGGTAAGATATAATGAATCACGAAAAAAAGGTGTTATTATTTAACATTCTTCCCTACTCGTCACATCATATGCTTATTTTATATCATAGATAATATAATGAAAAAAAATGCAGAACGTTTGATTAGATTAATAAACTGCAAAGTTCGATTACCATCTCGCAAAGATTATCTTGAAGTTCTTTGTTAAATCGGATGATGGATTAAAAAGAATTTTTTAGTAATGTTCTAAAACAAACGTGTGAATTTGCATTTACTAAACAATGCAAACTAATATTATTATTATTATTACTATTATTATTAAACTTTTTAATTAAATAAAAAATTACATGTTAAAACATATTGTATTTTAAAAATAATTAACTTAAAAAATAAAAATTTATTACATTTAAATTAGTTTAATTTGAATTGAAAAGGTTAAGTTAGTTGAGATAGGTCCTTTAGATCATAGAATTTCACAAGCAATTTTACCTGCTTATTTACTATAAATTTTCTTCTGATTTAATTTTATAAATAATTAAAATTTTTTTAAATTAATTATATAAATATGTATTATATATATTATATTAAGTTTTATCTTTTAATATAATAAAATATTTAATGTTACTTAAAAGTTAAAAATTTATAATTTTTAAAAAAAATTTATTTTAAAAATTTTATGATTAATCTATGATAAACTTTTTAGAATTTACTTTTAACTATATTAATTATAATAGAATATTATAAAATTATTTATTAAGAAAAATTTTATTGTTATAACTTTTATAATTTATTATTAAGAAATTTTATAACTTTAATTAATGATAAAGTGATTTGATTAATATGCAAACATATAAATTTTTAAAAAATTATTATGATAAGTTTTTTGAAACTTTAATTTTAAAATTAAATTATTTTAAAATCTTTTAAAAAATTTAAAAGCTTTGTTAATAAAGTTAATAAAATATATATGAAACTATATTTTTTATTTAATAATGATATTATTAAATTAATATTAATATTAATATTTATTTTTAATTTTATAGCAAATTTACCTGCTATACAATCTAAGAAATAGTTGTAACAAGATTAAAAAGAATGAAAAATAATATATGAATCTAAAAAGACCTATAATTTTTTAAAAAATTTTAACATTTATATGTTTTTTAAATTATTTTCTTGCTAAAAGTTAAAAGTGATAAATTATTTTTTACTTTTGATTTTTAGTTAAATATTTTATTATCACTTATAAAATTTTTATACTAAAATGTGATAGATTTAAAATTCATTTTTAAGATTTTTTAAAAAATGATATATAAATTTAATGTATTATTTAAGGTTTGCATCCAATACATTTATAAAAAAGTTGATACTTCAATTATGCTATAAAAAATAACCAAACAACTTGCTTTTATAACCAAGAATTTTCTTTATAATATTTATGCACTCACAATTATAAAAAATCTATTTTAATATTTAAGTTAAATTTTGTATTTGAAATAATTAATAATATCAGTAACTTAATAATAAAGATATTTTCTTGTTTTATTATTAATTAATGATGTTAATCTGTTTTTAATTTTATTTTCTTTTGAGAATTATTTAAAATATTTATTTTTATATTTAAATATTATTTATTTATAAAAAAAAACAAAATATAAAGTTGAAAATTTTATATATTTTAATATTTTAATTATTAAAAATGAAGATTTATTTAATATAATAGATTTATAATAAATTTTATAATTTTATGACTAAAAATTGTATTTTATTATTATTAAATACAATTATAAAATAAAAAACCTTCTGCTTACTTTTACTATTGTTTCCAACATAAAAACACAAAAAATTGCATTTGACACTATCTTGATAATTATTATTATCAAATAAATTATTATGTTCTTCAATAAAAATAATAATTAAGTTTAGATATAATGATGAGAGTATTAAAAGATTTTATTAAAAAAATTAGTATTAATTAAAAAAGAAATTATGAAAAAGAAATTAAAGAATTTACATACCTCCTATATAAAGATTCAGGCGAAACCTGATTATTATGCCCAATCTGAATCTGAAATCTAGGCAATATTAATTACGCCTCAACAAAAATTTTCTGAAATGTTCGATTGAGTCTGATACTGCTCAAATCCAAAATTCAATTCGAATTATTTGAAATTCTCTAAAACTTAATTATTCATATGAAAATCAAATAATATAATATTGTTGGTAAAACAAATATTAATGCATTCGATTTTTACAAAATAGAGGCTAATTCAACTTCTTCAACTGATGATACTTTATTACCTAAACGAAAAGTTGGTGAGAAATCTAAATCAATAGTTTGGGCACATGTATTCAACAAGAAAAGCAAATTTCAAAAGGTCATTAGAATGCAACATGTAATTTTTGTGGAGCTTTTTGATATAAAGGCTCACCAGTAACTCTTAAAGACCACTTACGAAATTTATGTGTAAAAGTTCCTGCAGAAATTCAGGACTTTTTTTTAGAATGTTTAGCAATAAAAGCAAGTGAAACTAGCGAGTCTTCTTCTTCAAAAAAGAAAACTTAATTATCAACCATTTCAGCCAACTCTAACAAAACTTTTTGATTATATCGAAAGTACTAAACTAATACCTGAATGTACTAAAGAGATAACCCACGTATTATTAAAAACATTTATTATTTGTGGAATTTTTTTCACATAGTTGAAAATCCATTCTTTATTGAACTATTAAAAACTTTACGTCTGGCATATGAACCTTCATCAAAATATATTCTTTTTAGATGATATTTAGTGTAAGAAACAGCTTTTATTAATCAAGAAATAATTAAACAATTAAAAAATTCTGAGAATTTAACATTAGGTAAGTTTTTT